TTTTTTTTTTTTAGAAAGTGGTATTCTATAATTTGGCCCTTTTTACTGTTATGTTTTTGTGGAAATTTAACTCTACAAAAATAATAAGTTCATTACATAAACTCTAAGAATTCATAAATTTTATATATTGAGACTTAAAATAAAATATATTCTTTACCCTGGTGTTGTGGGATGTAGTAAGTTGTGAAAACCAAGATTGACGTATTCGATTTTGACAGCTTCAGCATAAAATTCTTTGAGTACAATACACACGTTCTGGACATATTGCAAACGCTTAATTGAATAATTGTCGTGCTCTATAGCATCATCATTCTCTTCTATATTAACTTGCAATATATTTTTATAGTATATTGTATAAATAAAAAAATTTTTTGATGCTATAATTTGATGAAAACGTTTAATATTTACAAAATTCTTATAAGCTGTTTCAATTTGAGGATTACTACCGTTTTGATCAGTATAGTTGAGAATATCAATTTGTTTTTTTGAATTTAAGTACTTAATAACAAAAGAAAGTTCATCAATAATTATATGTTTTTCTTTATACATTTTAAAAGCAAATTTTATATTTAAACTACTAAAGAATTTCATGACATTGTAAAGTTTATCAAATAGGATCCTTGAACTTTCTACTGCGTCATCAAGTATAATAAAACAATCAAGAAAATTTTTAAATTGTTTTGTTGAATGATAGTTATCACATTGTTGTAGTATAAAACCAATATTTTCATGAAAAATTCCTAAAACCATTGTATACTTATTGTTAAGTGATTCAATAATCGCATCAAATATACTAGTAAAATTGTCGTTGTTGAGGTATAGACCTAAGTTTCGAATAAAAACTGGATTTTCCATTAAACCGTTCTTTAAGTTTTGCATTGGAATATTTCCGTTATGGACTCGAACATAATCTACTATTTCAAATAAGTATTCAGTATATTCTACATTCGCTAGTTCGCAGTTAGTTTTATCAAATTGAATTGACCATAATAGGAAATATATAAAATAATATATTTTTGTGAACATTTTTTAACAAACAAATAATATGAAAAATAAAAGTTTTAGTTACGTATTGATGAAATGAATGTATATTATAAATATTTTATACATTTAAATATGTATATTGACTAAATTAATATATATATGAAGTTCAGTTATTTTCAGTCATTTTATCGTCTATTTGTAAAGGTGTGTTTTAAATTACAATTGTTTAAGTAAATTGTAATCCATTTATTTGGAAATTTTCTTCGTTTATATCTTAAAATTCAGTCGTGTAAGCAAATTTTGTCAAGTTATTTTAATTTCAAGTAATTGAAATTTATTGTCTTAAAATATTCTACAATCATCTATACAACAATCTAAAAAGAAATTATATTAAGTATGACTAAAAGAAATATGAAACAGCGTGTAAACGGTGTCNATTATATTAAGTATGACTAAAAGAAATATGAAACAGCGTGTAAACGGTGTCAAGACATATATGGTTAATATTTGAATAAATTAAATAAACATAAATGTCTACAATAGCGAATGTGACAAAATAGTACAGAGTATCTTGGTGATTATTTGTATATTGGGTCAATTTTATTAAATATACTATTCAATTTTCTAGAATTTCTTAATGATTTATTACGTATTAGCATGTTTGTTTTAAAACCAAAAATTAAAATTTATACACATTTAAAAATTTTCTTTTTCTACCTCGCCTTAATCCTAATTTTTTGGGGTCGGCCACCCTTATCCTAAACTTCCACTTGACCCGATTTCCCACATCAACTACGATTACATTATTTGTCCTCATATTGCATTCAATAGCATCTCTCCATCTCTTTTTTGATCCTCCTCTACCTCTTCTTCCTTCAACATTCATTTCTATGACTGTTCTTACAGCTTCCGATTCCTCTCTTCTTGTAACATGACCGAACCATTTAAATCTATTTTCTCTTATCTTATCCATGATTGACGCTACACCTATACTCCATTATATATGTTCGTTCCTTATCCTATCTTCTCTAGTTGCTCCGCTAAACATTCTAAGTATTTTCATCTCTGCTGCACTCGTTCTCTGCTCTACTTTTTTGTCAACCACCCAAAACTTTGAACCATATATCATAGTTGATCAACAGTCTTATATAACTTACCTTTTTGCTTCATTGAAATTATTTAATCGTATAACCCACCAGACGCTTCTCTCTACTCAATCACTCTCACTTAATCCTGTATCTTATATTCTCGTCAATACCACCGCTATTTTGCACAATTGATCTTATTATTGAGATTGGCGATATTTTATCAATTTGAGTCAAGTTGGATTAGAAATCCAGATATGGATCAATCCGAATTCATACCTTAAATCTAGTAAGTACATTAATTTGTACTTATAGATTTGTAGTCAAATATACTATAATGTATTTTATTTATATAACTTTATTCTCTGAAATATTTATCAATTTATCTAATTATTTAAATTGTTATTTATTTATACTCAGTACAAGTATATATACTTAAAAGTTTAATAAATCATTATTTTTCTAAAAATAACAAAATATAACGAAATGTTAAAAATTCTATAAGAAACAACGTCGGTAAAATATCATATATTATAAATGGGTAGTAATTGTTGAAACTACAAATCAAAGATTTATTTTTAAAATACTTAAAATCTAATAAGACTATTATACGATAGTCTTATACAAATTTTAATATCAAGATAATGTCTTATGTTATTTTAACTTCGCTGAAAAGGTGTTGATTTTACTTTGCAATAAATAGGTATTTCTAAAATTATAAAAAAACTTTATCAAACTATAAAATCTATATCTAGAATCATAGTTGTACTGAACAGTTTATATAAAATTTACCATACCGTTTATTATCATAATAACAGTAGTATTATAAAACTATTTTTTAAAATATGACTTCATTAATGCTTGTTTTAAAATTTTTGTTAATATTTTGTGTCATTGTATGCACCCAATCAACAAAAAATTCAATGAAAAATACTATTACTCTGAATAATCTTTTGAAATGTGTTGGATGGAAAAATTTAAATCGTATCAGATATGTAACTTNTTGTATGCACCCAATCAACAAAAAATTCAATGAAAAATACTATTACTCTGAATAATCTTTTGAAATGTGTTGGATGGAAAAATATAAATCGTATCAGATATGTAACTTACTTAAATCAAAATAATGATCTTTTGAGTATCATCGAAGAGCCAGTAACACCAAAATCATGTAATACAAAATTACGAGCCACGACTGTTTTCCTCGGTTGCACATACGCAAGTATTTTATTGGACATTGTGATTGCTGTCAATTATCAAGTAATATTCTATGAAAATATAATAAGTAATAATGAATCTTGTAAATTACAAGTCCACAATTGCACAGTAAAACTATTAGAAATTTTCTCCAATATAACTTTATTTACAAAAAAAATGCAAGGCGCTTTGTACGCTATAGACAGCATGCATGAAAAACCATGGAAACTTAATAAAAGGTACCAATTTATTTTAAAACTAGTATTTGATAAGTTCCTAAGTTTACAAAGGCAATTAAATAATTATTCTTCCACAAAGAAGAATGTCAGTGTATACAGTAATGATATACTAAAAAATATAAAAGAAAACTTGAAAGAAATTAAAATAAATATAAATGTGGATATCAATCAATATTGTAGATTGGAACCTAATAATATCTATTTGTTAGCGAATAAATTGAAAGCTAAATATAAAAATTTTAATTTCGAAAGAGAAAATGTAGCTTTATATAATAATGGTTGTGAAATCAAGATGTTGATTTTAGAAAACTATACAAATCTAGGACTTAAATTCATTTTAAATACATTAGATCATGATTTAAAAGGTATGTAATTGTGTCTTAATATTTTTACGTTAGATTTCAGTAAATGAAACACTTGAAATATTTCATTACTGTAATTTTTTTTAATTACTTGTATTTAGAAGCAGAAAATGAATATGCAATCTCTCCAGCTCCGATTCCAGTTTTTTACGATTCACATCATAAAGGTAAATTACTTATGATAATTTTAAATTTTGGCCATCAAAACCAATTGTACGTTCTAGTGTGATAACTATTTTCAGTATTACACATTTTTTTAAAATGATTTAAACTTAAAAAACTACTCAATTCTAATAATTAACTTAATTCATATTATATATATGTATATTAATACATGTTACATGTCAGTCTTATAATAGCTTACAATTTTAACATTAGCAATAAAAAATCAAAAAGTGACTACGCCTGTTATTATAAAATATATTTGTGTTGCTCTTCATAAAGTTACAGTAAATAAAACACTTCAAATATTTTATTACTATAATTATATTTAATTACTTGTATTTAGAAGCAGAAAAGAAATCTGAAATCTCTCCAGCTTCACCTCCAGTTTTTTATGATTTTTTTCAAAAAGGTAAATTTCTATTTATAATTTAAAATATTGGTATTCAAAACCAATTTTACGTACTAGAATGATAACTATTTTCAGTATTACATATATATTTTGAAATCATTTAAACTTAAAAAACTACTCAATTCTAGTAATTAACTTAATTCATATTATATATATATATATATATGTATATTAATACATGATAAATATCAGTCTTATAATATCTTACCATATTAATATTAGCAATATAAAATCAAAAAGTAACTAAACATTTTATTATAACATTTGGTTTTTCTTTATAAAGTTACAGTAAATAAAATACTTGAAATATTTAATTATTGAAATGTTTTTCTTATTACTTGTTTTTAGAATTAGATAATGAATCCTCAATATCTTCAGCTTCAATGCCAATTTATTATGATTTTTTTCAGAAAGGTAAATTTCTATTGATAATTAAAATGTTGGTATTCAAAACCAATTGTATAGTCCAGTGCCATAACCGTTTTAAATATTACATATATTTTTTAAATTTATTTAAACTTAATAAACTACATAATTCTAGTTATGAATTTAATTTATATTAGACAAATGCATATATTATATCAATGCATATTATAAGTCAATACATATTGTGTATTAAGTGTATCTATTAAATAGAGATAAAAACTTCGTATGATATTGGAATTTTTGATTGTTAAATATACGTAATAATCACACCAAACTGTTGGCAAATTAAAAAATAAGATCAGGGCCGGATTTCGGGGAGGGCTGAGTGGACTGCAGCCCAGGGTCCCCCACAAATTTGGTATACATTGGTATCACAAATATGATAATAATTGTTATTTAATAAGTAAAAAAATACATCTCCTTGTTTATGTATAAGGGGCCCCCACAATGCATTCCGCCCAGGGGCCACCACATACCTAAGTCCGCCCCTGAATAAGATGTTCATGTTTTGAAAAAGTGATCATAATCGATTATTACAACGAACATTTCAACTGATCCACTTCATAACATCCAAAAATTAAACAGTTATAGCAAGAAACATGGTTGCATAGTGGAATACCGGCACAGCGTTGACGTGCCATACTTGAGAAAAGTATACATAACATCTGACAGTGTTTAAAATCAATATTATAAGAAACGCTATGAACCAAATCTATAGATAGTGTTTGAAATCCCGCAGGGGAATCCGCAAGGATTACGGGCCTAACAACCCCACAGACCCTAATTATTTTAGTGGAGGTGGCAACATGTACCACTGCTCTTAGCTTGTCATGACTTTGGTTAGTTGGGACCGGTAGGCCTGGGCATACCTGATTGCTAACAGCGAATAGGCCCCCCTAACCCAGCCATACCAAGTGAAAGGGTTGCTAACTTGTCACAGGGTAGTTAGCCGAAACGTAAAGTGACCATTGGGATCCTCTATGGCACCTAGCGCACTATAGAGTATACAGCTTTATCACAGTACCAAGCTCTGCTGTGACGGACCTTTATTTCTGGACTATTAGTGGGAACTATATGGACAAAAACATAGAAACACCACAAAACAACGAATTTGAGACGATCAGGTATCTTACGGACAACCTGTCGGAACAAGATCGTGAACTGGCGACTCTTCGCAGAAGAATCGCCAAACTTGAAGGTCTCAATACGAACAACGGGGCACTTTGTGAACCGTCTACTAGCAAAGAGACAGCAACGTCAACAAATGTAGACCAGGAATCGCAAGATCAACTGGGAGCAGCAGCTGACAAAATCGGGGGTCTAAAACTTAGACCTAAGAAACTGAGCGGCAGTCAGAGGCGCAAGCTGAAGTGGAGCCCAGCAATCATGGAGGGACAGAAAAACCTAATAAAGGAGGGAAATAAGGGAACCGATGACTTGAAAAAGTCAAAAGGAACCGTAGCTCAAAAATCTGAGGACAAGGGTGAAGAACCTCCATGTAAGAAAACTCATTGGATACCGACCTACAGGGATGTGTTAACCGATGATAAAAAAGTGGCTCTGGTACTAGCAGGCTACCCCACTAACAAGTAGACCACAGATCAGAGGCTAATAATTGAGTTTTGTGCTGGAGACTTGATACTGTCGGGTACTGATGGAATCGATGTACCAAGGTTTGAAGACACCAGACTCACTAATGGAGCACTAGTGATCAGTGCAGCCCAAGAGAGCTCTCTTAAGTGGCTCACCGATCATGTCAACCTGATAAAACCTTGGGATGGTGCAGAACTCCAATTGGAAGTGTCGTAACTCAAAAATGTTATACATAAAAATTTTATTATATATACTAAAAATGTGTAAGTGAGAGTTACTTTTGATTCGGGGTGTAATTCGAGGGTCATAAAATAACGATGTAAAAAATCTTACCTGATAAATTCTCTGGTTTTTATAATTATCCTTAGTGATGATATCGGTGAGAATAATAAATAAAGTACACAAGTTCAGATTTTCAGTTCACAAATTAACACATAAAATTTCGACAATGACGACCACGACGTTCGCACAACTTAATATGGACCACGAAAAGAACAGCTCAATACGGAGCATGAAATGAACAGCCCGGAGCAAGGGTTTGCTCTGGCTTTTTATAATATTTTTTTACCCCCAAAAATCGTCACTGTCGAATTTTTAGTATAATTGTTTATTGATAAGTAAGCATGAAAAACACAGAGATCAATACAGATGAATAGAACATAAATTAGTTTGACATTTACATATATAACATTAACATGTTTTTTTACAAGCGAGACGAAAATTGATACAATGCATTTAACTATTAATAGTAGAATAACAAAGATGACAAAAATAATATATAGATTTTATTTTGGTGAGGAAGGATTTTTAAAGTAATTATTAATTGATTTATGATCGAACCGCATACACTACAATGTAGTTAAACAGTGTGAGTCTTTTGACTATTTCTCTTAAATGTCTATCTAAGTTTTTGTTCGAAAAAGGATCATGTCCTTGTAAGAATATAATGTATAATGAAACAAGTTAAAATGTACCACTTCTATCCATAGAAGTGGTGACTATTTGAAATGAAAAAATATATACTAATAAAAACTAAAAAAGATAATATTGTTAAGTACATGAACAGGGTATTTTAGTGTTGTCTCGTATAAATAATAGTGACGATTATATTACGACAGAAGCCTACAACCCGATCAAGTAAAACAGATGGTTACTCATATACCAGGGCTACCAAAAGAGTCCAACAAGATCTTGGAAATTTGAGCAAAACAAAACCCAGGGCTGAGCACGGCGATCTGGAATGTCCACCATGAGACAGAGGTTGGCCCAAAGGACAAACTTTGTTCCTAAGTGTGGACGAAAAGAGCATAGCCAAACTGGAGAAACTGAAGCGTAGTCCATATTTTGGAATTGGCAGAGTTTGCTTCATAGACTATGTTGCCAAGTAGCCACCAGCCCAGAAGGATGTGAAAAAATCTACTCCTCAAAAATCTGGGAAGAGGAAGACTGAAGAATCACCAGTGCCACTCGGAAAAGGAGGTAAGGCACAGATAAGACACAAACGGACGCACTTCATTCCTGCCTTAAAAGGGAAGGGAGGAAGTATGTTACGTAAGGGAAAGGGACCCAGGAAACCGCCACCCTCAATAACAGCCATAGCTGATGGAAACCTTTCCACGGATCCAAAAGGAAATGTGGAAGCGTGGAAATGGGAAATGTGAGCGAACCTAAGGAACGGTAGCCATCTGGGAACCTTTAATTATTACAAAAATGAAAAATTAGTACTAATCCTAGGTATGGATGCTAATGCACACCACACTAGTTGGGGGAGCAGTAACATCAACCAAGAGGAGAGGTTATAATGGATCTATTGCTGACTGCAGACCTAAGTATACTGAACAGAGGTAGTGAACCTACTTTTGTTATCAGGAACAGACAGGAAGTCATTGATCTGACAGTTTGTTTAAAAGGGTTACTTCAAAAGATAAAAGGGTGGAAAGTGTCCTCCGAACCTTCTCTTTCTGATCATAGGCACTTACGATTCACTTTGGAAATTAACAAAGTTGAGACGGAGTACTATAGGAACCCGAAAAGAACAAACTGGGACAAATACAGGGCAGATCTCTCTCGTGACCTGATTAACCTACAGTTTAGATTAGGGTTGAGACAGAGTAATGAAAGGGCTGTAAATATGCTACAGGATTCCATTGTCTCGGCTTACAAAGAAAACTGTCCTTTAATACAAGAGAAAGTTACAGGACAGGGTTCAAGTAAGCTCTTAAATAAAGCAATGAAATCAGGTTTGAAACAACACTGGGAATCCTATAAGGACGCCTAAAGAAACTACAAATCTGCATTGAAAAAGTTTAAAAGAGAAAGCTGAAAGAAGTTCTGTGGTGATATACAACAACTCCCTATAGCAACTAGACTCCTGTGATCACTAAGGAATGGACCAAACAAAACTGTCGAAACAATATTACTGCCAGGCAGAATGTTCACCAATAATGATAATGAAACATTATCACTTTTGATGAACACACATTTTCCTGACTCTGGAATTAACAACAGAGAACAGGAACATGATGCACAGGACAAACGTGTGACCTGTGCTGATTGGA